CACACACACACACACACACACACACACACACACACACACACACACACGTGTCTTTGCTATTTTCTTTTTTTATTATATTAAATTTAACTATTTTTGTAGCAGTCTTAAATTCGCCACAGAGCTTTTGTTATGTTTCCTGGCTTCAAATTTGTTCTGCAAAGAGAGACATGGTGTCTCATAACAGAGGGTTTACCTAGTTTGAACACCAGACTTCTACAATAATAATCTCAGTACGGAGTACTTGAAAAACCGACCTCAAAAGTCATTCATATCCTAGTTTGTCACCCTTACAGGTGAAGTGTTTTCTTCAAATTTAAATGGCACCACTACTGAGGTACCCTCTTTCGCTTCATAAACCATCAAAATCGGTTCACATATGCAGCCGGAGTTATCGCGTAACGTACGTACAAAAAGTGCAGTCGAATTGAGAACCTCCTCCTTTTTTGAAGTCGGTTAAAAATGATATACTATATTTTATGTACCTACTTACATTTAAGTTTCACGGTGGAAGAGAATAAATACATTACCTGGACCTGTAAAGGGCCCGAAAGGTCGGTTTGTTTGAAAAAACAAATATACGCGATTTAAATCCGGAAAAATAGTTTCATTTTCTAAAAATAAATAAATAAATAAAATAATACAGCTCCTTGTAAAAGTGTTCGTTCGCTAGGTGTCACCAGTTGTGTGACCTTGTCTCGCCCTTGCGTACGAAGAAGGTATGTGTGGGAAAGGGATGGAATAGAGAAGAAAATATTGAGACAATCAAACCATTTCTAATACAATTCAAAGATGAAAGTGTCTAAATTTCGCGAGGTAAATTCAAACAACATTTCGGTGCAACCAAGTACTCGTAATATAGTCAAGGGTGTTAGCATTTTATAAATAATTCTATACAGATTGTGGCTGCGAAAATGGTTACCTTCTGAGACATTTCTTTCTTTACTATATAATATTTGCGCAGCTGTTGGTTCTGCACAGTTTGATATGGTCTTTAATGAACCGTCCCCGCTTGATTTATTTCTGTTCCTCTTGATTGGTTCTCGTTTGCGAAATCGATTATTCAATTCCCCAGGCTTGTTGCTGGTTAAACTAGACAAATAGTTTCGTCAGAAGGTTAAAGGTTGATTAATAGGGTCGTATATTATTTGGTCCAATGGATAATATTAGAGATCCGTGCAAATCAAAATAGTTTGTATTGGACAACCAAAACAATCAACTCAACTATTTCTGTCGTTTTCCGTGTTTGAAGGAGTCTATACAGGCGTCACTTCAATAAAATGATTTACTTTATCAACAGACCACAAAGCTTACACAATGCGATTTGAGGGATTCAGAGTCTTTGAAGACCCTGGGTATACGTACCAATAAAAGTTTTTGTTTGCGTAACATCCGACCCTTTGCTTTTGAAAGATAATGAATGATCACAGGTTTATATTAGGGGTTAAAGTATGAAATTGCCGTTTTATTGCAATAGGTTCTTTGAATTTTCATAGAATATTCATGGTTTGAGGTTTTCGAATGAAACTTTTTTCAAATGGTTTCTG